AGGTTTTAAAGTCCTACATATCCGTTAATTTTATATATATGATCTAGTTTCTTTTTATCTCTTTTAAACATTAAATTAAAAGAAATCCTAAAATTACATTTTAAATTAAAAAAAATACATAAAATGTACAGTACATAATGATTTATTTAATCAATTAATAATTTTAATTAAAAGAACAAATGTAAATGAATTTATTATATCGATATACCAATCTTGAAATATATAAATAAAGAAACTAAACTACATATACCTTATTTAATAAAACACTTCCCACTCCAAAAATACAAGCTTTATAAAATGGAAATTAATTCTGATGCATTTTTTGAGTAGGTCTGTTCTATAAAGATGGATTTAATACTATATATTGAAGAATATATATTAAGATTTATTTTTCACTAATAGGCAAAAAGTGTGTTTAATATAAATATCGATGAGCTTACTCCAGAAAAAATAAATGTGATTGCTGGAAAAACATAAGGTTAACTAAATCCAATTATATATTTTATTGCCACTAAGTGTTATTTTCTATCAGTAAATTAGGAGATATTTATAAAAAAGACGAAAGCATGAATAAACCTCTAACAAATATTGATTAGCAATGGCTGTGTAAATTAATCGGAAGGAAAATAAAGATTGACATCAATAAATTTTATTATAAAATGCTAGACGATCCACATTTTATATTTATAGCTTTTTATTATTTATCAATAAGTGAAGCAGCATTGTTAAATAATGAGACTTTCTTAGATATTCATAAAGTTGATAAAAAATTTATTGAACAAGTTCAAACATTTCAGAAATATGTCTCTGAAATTGATAACTCCCAACCTTCAATTGATAAATGCATTTATGTTGACGATGATATAATTACATTTGATCAATATATTGAGTATTGAATGGATCGCTTAGAAAAATTAATTGAGCTTTATAAAAATCAACAAACTGTTCCTATATCGCAATTTAATAAAAAACTAAATAATTATGAAAATCAAATTTTAAATTTGGAAGGTAAAATAAATGAATTAGAGAATAGATATGTATTTATAAAAATTCATTCAACTGACAATATTTTTTTGAATCTTTAAAAATATAAATTTCAATATCTAAGCAAAACAAAAGAGGAAAATAAAGTCTATTTAAAAGAGGTATGTAAAATTGCATATATACAAATTACAGTTTTCAATAAAATATTTTTTATTGTAAATACTGCAATAAAAAATGTAATTTTTATTTTTGTAGAACAAGTACTATAAAAATGAAATAATCAAAGGTTTGTTAACTGCTTTATATAAAATTTACAATTTATTTGTATATTAAAAAAATAATTACTTTGACAGAAAATTTTATCAACGATCATTTTGAATCATTAAATGAAAAAATTAATTTATTGGAACAAAAATACAAGTAAATTATAAATCGAGCATCCAATTGGTTAAAAACTTTATCGATCTTTTTGAATCAAAAATCAATTCATTGGATCAAAAAATTCAAAAGAATGTTTTAGAAATTCATGATTAAAGCCAATTACCTAAAGAATTTTATAACAATTATTTTGAATCAATAATCAATCTATTGAACCAAAATGTACAAAATAATATTTTAGAAGTAAAAAATCAAATTCATAATCAGATTTGAGATGAATTCGATAAAGAAATACTTGAAGCATTTTACAATTGTTTTAAATCATTAGAACAAAAGTAAAAGATGATATTTTAGAAATAAAAAATCAAATTCATGATCAGATCCAAAATGAATTTAATAAAAAAATAAATGAGTATGTTTTAAAAACAAGTAAACAGATATATGATCTGAATATCTAGTACCAAAGACCATTGAACTTGATAAATCCAAAAAATAATCTAATTTGTAAGTTAGAAGATGAACAAAAATTCATTGTTACTTCACTAATAGGTGTGTAAATTCAAACCTATATTTTATTGTTTAACTTAAATAAAAAAAAAAACTAATATCAATAAAATAAATATAATAAATCGAATGTTGAAAAAAAAAAAACTAATAACAAGTTAATCAATAAAAAATTTATCTTGCTGTATTTTATTATTAAATTATATTAACTCGATCTGCATTTATTATTATTTTGGCTTGAACTTTCTTGCGAGATATATGGAATAATTAAATCATTTATGATATTTTAATGTTATATTTTTTAATTAAAATAAAATAAAAAATTAAAAAAAAATTCACTATTCGGTTCGAAAATACCGTTATTGGTTTTGATAATCTAGTTTTGATAATTGATTTTGAATACACTTGATTTTGAATGCATTCTTCAATGACTATTTAATTTGTTTCTGAATTAAAGAATCCAATAACTCAAAAATAATATCGATAGTTTAATAAAATGTCATATGATTTTATAGACCCAAGAGATCACATGATTATAATTGAGTAAAAACAAATTACAGTTTTACACTGATTATTTATACTTTTTTCTTGTAACAAAATCTAATTCTATTATATTTATAAAATGGAAACTTTTCACAGTTCTCTATACTGTAAAGTTTTCTAGCTTTTATCTTCTCTTTTAAATAAAGATCATTAATAAAGTATTCAAGTTTTTTACAATATTTTAAAGGATTTTTGTTATCCAAAGATGGTAATTCGTAACCTTTATCTTCAAAATTAATTGAAATATCTGCTTGTACTGGTTCAAAGCCAGCTTTCTCAAGAATATTCCAAGAACTGATATTTATAGGCCTAACTGTAGCTCTAAATTGTTCTAATTCTTTACCTTTAAAGCATTAAAACTTTTTTTGAATATTTTGATATTGCTTATTCTGTTTATCAAATCCTTCTCTTAAGCCTATTCTACATACTTCTGGACCCCACACTTCAACTATTTTACTCAATACTGATTGCCCAATTCCTTTATTCCAGTATTTACTAGATAACGCATAAGCTATTTCAGATCTTCCTTCTTTTTCTTCAGGTTTAGATATTATAAATCCTATAAAATTACTATGTTTGTCGAGGATGGTTAGTGCTTCTTGAGGTTATCCTATTTGATACACACTGGTTTTATCTTCAAACTTCTTGTCTACTAATGGTTTTTCTTGATACAAATATTTTATGACATTTTCATTAGCCAATAAAGCTTCATAATTTGATTTGTCACTAGATTAAAACTCACATACAGACCACTTATAATTGTTTTTATCAACACCACTAAGGTATACTGATACTCTTTCAGAGAATGTAAAAATTAAACTTGTCATAATGTAAAAAATAGAGTAAAACTAAAGATTTTTACTAACTTACTATTTTATTGTATATTTATTATAAATTTGATTAAATCTTTATTTCTATTTCAGTTTCTAAAATATCTTAAAAAATAATTGAAAAAGAATTAAACAAATGGATGTTTGTGAAATCACTTATTACGTGATAATACTTTGGAAATTTTCGTGATGAATTGAATAAATATGATTTTATCTACAAATATTTTATTCAATTAAGGATAATATTGTTAAGGCTTGAATCATATCTAATAAATACATTGATATCCAAATTCGCCAGGCATGATAGTGATTTAGCTAGACAAATAACACCTGAAAGTGTGAATGCTTTTATTTTTAATAATCTTGCATTGAACGATAATTAAAAATTTAATAGATTTTATATTTGACAATTAAATAACAATAAAAAAAATTACTGATTTGTGATGTTTCAGAATACAAAATTAAAATTCAATTTTCATTTATTAAAATGACAATGTAAATATATATAAAAAAATTATTTAAATCAATACATAAAAAATTACAATATTTTGTATAAAAAAAAACTCGTGATTTCATTAATTTTTAAGGTATTAGATAATTTTTTATTAAGTTCACGTGAGTGGCACTTTCATAAGAACTCTGAGGCAATAAAAACCAATTCAAGGAAAATTATACTTTATAAGGACTCTAAAACCAATAGTTTAGAAACAACTATTAAATTAACTAGAAAAAAAAGAGTAGAAAAGATCTTCAATAATAAGTTAATTAATGACAAAGCTGAGCAATTTAGATATTTAATAGTTAAATTAGAGAAATTTAAGAAGCGCGAAATGCAAAGTTTAAAAGATCTTGAAGCCATATACAATTTATATGTTAAGTTAAAATCCAATACCAAGATGTCAGGAAAAATCTCCAAAACTGAATAAAAAATAAGAATGTTGATATAATAATTGGAGCAGCAAAAAAAGCAGCCGAGTTGAAAAAAGTGGATCATCCATTTTTTGATATTTATGCAGACAAAAAGATATATTCATTGTTATTTTTATATAAAACAAAAGTTAATGACATTATAAAAGAAATCTATAAAGCTTAAAGTCAATATTTTTCCTGAGAAAATTACTGTTAAAATTAGTAAAAAGATTTAGAAGCTTTTTGAATATTTCATTTATAATTAGTTTATTTAATTGGGTGGTGAGTCAATAGAAATGACTAAATTTGTTGGCCAGATAATTAATTTTTTTAAATACATTGGAATATTTGAAATCATAAGTCTGGTTTTTTCTTAAATTTTACATATAATTTTTGGGTATAATTTCACGTATCACGTTGGGGTGTGCAATATACTATATAAGCTAGTTAGTACTCATGTTGATTATTATAAATAAGGTTAATAGTAAAGTTAAATGATTTATAGGTTTGGTAAAATAGTTAAGTATTATACAAGATATGGTAAAAAAAATTAAAAATAATAATTTTAATTCTGAATCTCTGTGGGCGCGTGATGCATGAATTTGTTAATCAAGTTTGTTAATTCAACTCGTGGAAAATCATGTAAAAAAAATACAACTTTATTAAATAATAATATATACATTATTGACATGAAATTTCTCTAAAGTAAATTTCTAAAAAGCTACAGAAATTAGATATCTTCAATAAAAGGTAGACTTGTTGGCTATTTTGTACTAAAAATTTTAAGAAATAAAAACATTCTGTACCAATTTGATTATCTAACTAGTGTCATAAATCAAGAAAAAGGTTTTTGATTATTTTTTAAAAAATCGATATTATTAACAGATTTATTTTTTACAAGAATTTCCTAAATGAGACACGATAACACCAGATGCATATTTGAACTTTTGAAGATCTCACCAAATTTCTATTATTATTTACTATTACCCAAATTAGTATACTAGTTAGACATAGCGATAGAATCGACCGAGTTGTTCAATAAATTTGTTGTGATAATACCTTGCCTAATGTCATATTTAATAAGTTTAAAACTTCAATAAAGTCACAATATTTAAATTTTATTTACAATGAATGT